TAGGGTGGCCTGGTTGAAGAAGTGGGCTGCCTGTAGGACGTCGACGTTGGAATCACGCGCGCCTTGAGCTCAATTAGGTGAGCGGGCCGCCCACTTTATTGTTAGAGACGGAGCTGGCGCTCATCCGATATGGCTAACTTAGTCACTAATCACCCTACTTATGCTGCTAAACCTACCACCACGTCACAAGTCGCGCTAACCCGCAGCATTCTTGGTCCATGTAGTTGATTGCATTCTCGAGTTGCGGACAAGCGGAACCAGAGGAACCATCGCAGCAGCGCGTTTGCGCGATATGCGATCAACTTGGATGCGATGACTGATTGATCGTTACCATAGGTGGGTATCGGCTGATCGTGGCATATGAACCGCAGTTCTAATCAACGTCACGCAACCGCTCTCAATTACTCAGCTGGCTGTTCCAACATCGCTTTTCAAGAAAGCATGGATAAGAAGTGCATTTGAAAAGAAAATAACGGGGATGTTGTGCTGATTTAGAAAAACGAACAGTCATTCTGAAGGGGTGCTAACTGTATGCTTGAAGAATGTAGCTGATTTGATTTCAACATCTGTACTTGCTTAATATAAGAAACAGGAGTAAATTACTCATAGTCTTCGCCTTCAGTATGATGTCAAAGAAAGCCCACTGAAAATCCAGTTAAAATTTGAATTTAGGTCGAAAACTTTATTTATGGAAATACCTGATGTACATTGCAGGAATCACTACCGATGACTTGTTCTGGTTGCCGCAATCTCCCGGAAAGACTTTGGTAGTAGGTGCAAGCTATGTGGCGTTAGAAACGGCTGGATTGCTGGTTGATCTTGGCATCCCTGTAGATTTACTCATTAGATCACGACCGTTGAAAAAGTTCGATCAGGTGGGGTACCTTGCATTCTAGAGAATAATGTGTAATTATTGCTGTTTAAATAGTAGAAATCGCTCGTCACAACATAAAGCCTAGTCTTTTTGTGCTGTTTGGATCACGTTTGAAGCTTATTTCGAATTATAGAGAGACTGGCTTCTAATAGTCGAGAGGAAAGTGTGATAGTTGTTGCAGACATCACATCATGTAGCAACCTAATTGTTAGTGTAATTAGCTGCTGTAATTATCGGGTCAGCACTAGTCCTATATGTAG